ACACTGCACACACAATATCACCGTTGCCCACAGTAACCAGCCTAACCATGATAAGACAAAAAGCAGGTGTCACCATCAGCATGTTAAGGATTACTATTTCTTTTTACCCTTTAATATTTTCATTAAATCATGTGTTTCCATTAACTATCCATTAAGATCAATGAGTGTAATCTGGATGAGAGTCCTATACAGGGTGTAAGACATTGAATGACATCTATATTTTGTTTGTGTTGCAATGCTCATGCAATGGGCAAAAGCTAGGTTTAAGCCAAGAGATCAATTATATAGATTATGGTTATGGTTCTCTACCATTATGCACTTGTCCAACAAGCGTATATTGAAATATAGGATTGAAGAGATTGAAGGATGAAGAGCCCACAATACCATTATCATTTTTTAATTGACACAAATAATAATATTACATTTTGAAATGTTATTATCAAAGTTATTTAAGCAACTGTGTATGTAGTTTTGTGTATTTTTTTGGAGCCCACAGTTAAGTGAGTGGAATTCACAGTCGTAATTACAGTGTATAGCTGAATATGTGCATTTGTTGCTGCCGTAAAGCAATCTGCCCTTTTCGTGCCCGCCCCGCTCACCATACTTACTCCCAGAAAAAAAAACAAAAAAACATTTGCCTTATTAGTAGTCAGTGTGCAATCACAATAATTTATTTTAAAAAGTTCAAAAACTTTTTAAAGTTAAAAAAAACTTGTTAAAAGTTCGTTCAAACTCGCGAGACTTAAAACATAAAAACAAAACATATTCAGTTTGAGCTTTTTAGATAGGAAAGAGTAGATGAAACAGGAAACAAACTCAGGTCACCTACCCACTGCCCAACTAGGGTGTAGCTTAAAAAATATTGTGACCATGGATGGAAAATACAAGATTCAGACACAGATAATTGTGCCATTTCAGTAACTGTCTGGTTTGGTTCAGCTACAAAATCAGACATCAGCTTGGCAATAAAGCTCTTTCTTTCTTTCTGATTTCCAATAAACCATTAATGGGCCTCTCTTCAGAGAGGCATAGTAATCAAATCATGATTTACTATACAGAATATCATAGAAGCAACATGTCTTTTGTCTCTATTCAGTGGCAAATTTTGTTCTTTTACATTCATGGCTGTGGAAAAAAAATCTCTCCACTAATTGTAAGTCACAGCTAACCACAGCTCAGATATTAATTGAATGTAAACTTTCATCTTTACAGAAAAGCATTATGCAAAAGTGCCAAACGCAGCAGTATATTGTGGATGTCCATTATGTTATCTAGGAAGGGCGTATCTTTGATTATCTCAGCAGCTAACCTTAATGAGTATTGGTTTTTGAGGCTGATGAGTTGAGATGAGTTCAGAATCTTTTTCTCTTACTTTCATTCTGTATATATTATTTTTTACGTCAACCTCTCTGACACTTGCTCTGATGATAAAAAGATATTATCACCTACCCAGACAGTGGCAATAATGAGACCTATTTATCGTCTGACAAAGCAATTGCAGATGCTTCTCCAAGTTAAACAACTTAATGTTTTCAATAGCTTTGACATTTTGAAACATTTGGCTTTGATGATTGGACAAAAAGGGACAGCAAAACAGGTGTATTGTCATTGACCTTTGGGAAGAAAAGTACATGATAAAATAAAATAGCAACCATGTGACACCATGAAAATAACCTATTAAAATCTTAAATAAATGTATTGCCTCATATTAAGAGGACTGTTTTAGGCCATCATAATAATGTAACTAAGAATATATAATAATGCATCATTATAATTATAATAATTTATATTATAGTTGTATAATTACATAATTATATTACATAATTATCATAATTATTATTAATTTCATATTATTATTAGTGTTGCTGTTGTTGCTCTATAGAGAGGTTGTTTTTTTTTTGCTTAACTTTTACTGTAGTTAGCACATTGCATTACTGATGCACTGATAACGACATCCAGCAGGTGGCAGTACTGAGGCCCATTGGTCTAATGGGTGAAGAAAATGGAAATTGTGTAAGAAATAGAATTTCTAACTCTGTTTTTCTTGTATAACAGGTTATGGACGAATGTATCCAGTGACTTATGAAGGCAAGGTGGCTTGTATCGTGTATGCGATGGTGGGCATCCCTCTCATGCTGCTAGTCATTTCAGATGTGGGCGATATCTTAGCTGTTCTTCTCTCTAAAGCGTACACTCACCTCAGCCTGTTCTTCAGGCAATGGATGTTACATCGCTCATGCATTCACAGGCTTGAAAATGCATCACCTCCAAAACAAGTTCAAGGTGCTGATGCCAACGACACCTATATGTTCAGCCAGGATGTTGTGGTGCACGAGACAAAGAACATTCAACAGGTGATAAAAACCCAGTCGTCCCTCAGACACAATTCCTTACAGATTCGTAACAACAAAGAGATCTTTGACCGCATGATTATTAAGGAGAACTTCAAGCTCAAAAGCACTCTGACAAAATCCTGCTCATGCCCAGACCTCGACCGTATACCACCCTCCAAAACCAGCTCTAAGTTATTCATTGGCATCGGACAGGAGATGGACCACTTTAAAGTCCCTCTGCTGGTCATCTTGCTGGTGGTATTTGCATATATGGTGGTCTGCAGTCAAATTCTGAAATGCTGGGAGAAGCGGATGGGCCATTTTGATGCCTTTTATTTCACCTTCATCACCTTGACCACCATTGGTTTTGGTGACATTTTGCCTGAACACCCAAAGTACTTCATGGTAACTTTTTTGTTTATCATCATGGGCATGGCCATTATGAGTATGGCCTTCAAACTTGGCCAATCGCGAATTGTTAGCTTTTACAGGCGGTGCATACAGTGTGTTAGCATGGGCAAGGTAGGAATATACGAAGACCTAGACAGTAACTGAAGGCAGAAAGAAGCAGTTGTTTTTTGTGGCTTTGCTAATGGCCCAAGAGAAGCATGAGCATCCTCAGCACAAGATGGAAATGTGTTTTAATATCTATATATCAATGCCAGTTTGATATAGTGGGTTGAATGGAAATGAACCACAGTCCTGCTGCAGTAAACAAGTAATAGGAGAAAGAGACTCAGAATGAAGTATACACTCCTGTTAACTATTTCAGCCAAAAGCAAGGAAAATTTGAGGAAAATAGCATTGGACGTTGTTTATGTTTATTTTGTTTAGATATGTAGTTTGTCAGAAATGCACTAGCAATGCAAGTCACTTAGCAAGTCCATTTATTCCTGACATTTATTCATGTTCATGCAAGATGTATTGTATAACCTACTGGGTATTCATAATATATCCGATAAGAATATAATCAGTATTGTTTTTATTTTTTCATTCAATGCCAAGAGTGTAATATGATTCAACTTTCTGATCAATGCATTACTTTTCTCTTAGTGGCATTAATGTTATGAAAGTGTGTATGTAAAATTAATTTATTCACTAATACAAAAGCTAGCATGTAAATAATATGATTGAGCACCTGTAATATCTTGGCTGTGAAATGTAATATTATCAACTGATCATGCACTTTGAAACCAAGTGAATAAAGGAATCATTCATTCAGTGCCATCTGATGAGTTTGTATGTTTACAAAAATGTCTCTATCCACGTCTCTTCTCCTCTTTCTCAACTGGTGCTAAAGTAGCTGCTCCAAAGTCAAAGGTTTAATTCTTAAGAAACACACTCAACTAACTAACAGGCAACGTTCTCATTATTTTGGCAGGGTTCTCTCAAAGTTATGAACAAATGTTCTTCCAGTAATGTTCGTTAAAACGTTCTTTATGAACGTTCGTTAAAAAGTATGTGGTCAAGCACAAACTCATGATTTAGCCTATACAACCTTCGTGCTACGTTTTTAATTGCACTACCTGTTTGAGAGATCATTCAAAAATAACATTTCCATAATGTTTGCACAATTATAAAATGGAATGTTCCTTTAACGTTCGCATAACCATGAAAAACGTTTAAAAATGGACAATGAGAGGACATTCAGATTACATTCAAATACAAAATACAGCCAGAATTTTCTTTAAGACACTTAAAATAAAATCATCTACCAAATGCATATACAGTATCTCACAAAAGTGAGTACACCCCTCACTTTTCAGCAACCATTTCAGTATATCTTCTCAAGGGACAATACAATAGAAATGAAACTTGGATATATTTTAGAGTAGTCAATGTGCTGCTTGTATAGCAGTACAGATTTACTGTCCTCTGAAAATAACTCAACATACAGCCATTATTGTCAAAATAGCTGGTAACAAAAGTGAGTACACCCTAAGTGATAACAGCTGTGTGTCGTTTAATCATGCAAAGCCACATGTCCTATTCATCATGTTCATGTTTTTTGTCTGCTTGACAGGACCATACAAATTTGTGTATCTTGTATTAGAGCAGTTAAAATGTGGTGCTTTGAGTACAATTCTCTCATACTGACCACTGGATGTTCAACATGGCAGGCCTACTCACTTTTGTGAGATACTGTACGTAACACCTCACTTCCTCCCGCGCCACAAGATGGCGCTGTTGTAAAATATATTGAAGAAAGAAGGCTGCTGATTTCACCCATCTAATAAAACGCATTGAAACACTTGATGTCAAACTGCTTCTGTTCTGTTTAACGTTAAACGAAAGTGATTGCAACTTTCCTTCTGCAAATAACTTCCTAATACTTGTAAAGATGGCTAAAAGAGCAGCATCGCAATCTTAAAGCGCACATACGACTTGTATCATTTTAATATGAAAATAATAGCCTATAAAGAACTTATACTTAACTTGATATTAAATGAAGTAGTTTCTAAATAGATGAATAAAATGAAACTAAAAACAGTAAATAAGGTGCTCCTGCCTTTCTCATTTTTGTGTGACGGTTCATTCGTCCGTGTCACAGCACAGCACAGCACAGCACAGCACACACTCATTAGAGCTCTCTGTGAAACAGCGTGACGTCAAACAGCAGTCAAGCAACTAAAACGCTCCGCATCCAGCGTGCCTTTCACCCGGCATCTCACAGCAAAGCTCAATGCAAATGTGCTTATAAGGTAAGAATTAAAACCATACTGGATATATGATTCATCGCAAATATTTAGACTTAGAAAAAAAGTATAAGAAAGGGAAAAATCACTATTGTTGATAGTTTATTATTTTCAGAGAGCTTCAGTGCATACATTTATAATTGTAAAAAAGTGTAAATTTACTTTAATATTTGACATAGGCCTATTTCTCTCATATTAGTAATAATCCCCTCAAGTTTCTCTCTGTAGATTATTATTAAACACATTTTATAATGTTTTGATGTCACTGATGTTCTTTGACAGTCTTTTTTTGTTCTGTTGCAGGATATTTTTGTCACTCGCTCTCTGGCATTTGGATTTGAATAAAATGGGATTATTTGATGCTCTTAGAGATTTTAGTTTATTAACATGGCTAAGAGAAGAAAAACAGTCTCGGAGGCTGATTCTGTTGATCGTTTTCATTGCGTTGCTGTTGGACAACATGCTGTTGACGGTGGTCGGTAAGCGCTACTGTTGTTCACACCTGTTACATGTGCAGGCACATATGATGCAAAGAGCACATATCCCTCACAGCGACCACTGATAAACTGTTCATTCAATGCTTATATACATAAGATGCGTTTTTATGATAAAATATATTATCACATAATATGCTGTCATAATATTAAATATCTGTAACATTCACAAAACGTACAATTTCATATATTCATAGACTATGTTTTCATATAGCTATATCAATTTGATATATTTTGCATTATGTATGTATTATGAAAATGTGTCACTAACAGTATACAAATGTTAATTACTGCACGTAAATAATTAATAGGGCGGGTCTTCTCGAATAAACGAAATGATCATTGGAAAAAATAGTTTTGCATATATGTAATAATTATTTATTTATTTAATAATCGATTTTAAATCAATACTAATTTAAATAAATTGTTTAATTTAAAGTATTTCAAAAACTTTATTTGTTCGGGGGGGGCGTGCATTAAAAGTAAAATTATAAATCTGCGCCTAGGACTATCCTAAACGATTGTTTCCCCTGTCGGCTGCTCCAGTGGCTGCGGTTGATCTGAATGAAAGTAGCCTATCATATCCTCTAACGCTGCCAGAGCTCCGTCCGCGCGTGTGTATGTCTCATAATGTGACAGTGTGACGCGCGCTTTAAACTGTCTTTGTTTGTTCTCACGTCCGCGAGCCAAGAAACGGGCACGGTAATTAAGCTGGAAATAATATACACGATGAATATGGCCCGTGTGTACATACAGATGGAACCAGGCGAAAACTGAACCTCTTTGGCTCAAGTGTTGAATGAGCAGGCTTTTAAGCATTATCGCTCACGGTGTCCCTGTGGGTTATTTACGCATGATAATGTCGAACGCATCTAAGAAACCCAATATTGTTCACAAGAAATGTCAAATGTGGGCTTACACAGCTAGATAAATCTTTGAACTTAATTTAAATTTTATTTATTTTTTTTGGAAAATGATTGGTAAACAGTGATTCTAGTTGCCTAAAAATGATTCGTAAAAATGATCTGTCTCTGTCTCATGGTTATTATTATCTCTTCTCTTTCCTCTCTGTAGTGCCTATTATTCCAAGCTACCTGTACTCAGTGGACGATGAAGCTGCTCAGTCGGTCCGGAATCACTCCATGTCCTCTCTGTCCCCATCTGGCACCTTTCAGAGCATTGTGTCTCTGTACGATAACACAACACGCCTGACCGTCTTCAGCTCACAGATGAGCACGGCTGGCCCAATGAACCCAGCCCCTACTTCTGTGATGCCCTCTCAAAATAAGTCGGACTGCCCCAAAGCAGATGACCAGCTTCTGAATGAGAATGTGAAAGTGGGTCTGTTGTTTGCCTCTAAAGCAACAGTACAGCTAATTACTAACCCCTTTATAGGGCCCCTAACCAACAGGTGAGTTAAGGCAAAATCACACGTTTAACTTTGAAAGTACAGCAACTAGCATTTCTCTCAAAAGGAGCATGAGATTGCATGATATGTTTGTGCATGCAGTGAGTGTAAATGGCGTGTAAGTAAGGTGAATATTGCAGTGCAATTGTCTTTCTGCCTCTGTCTGTTGAGTGATCAGCAGTATTGTGATCACTCGTGCATGTGCCGCTCTACATGCTCAATATTGGCCAGTCCAGTTTAATTCATCACTGCTGCATTGAACGGATCCCACTAGAGCTTGGCAAAATCTTGGGATCGGTCAGCTATAATATTTTGTAGCAATGTGCTTCACTGTTCGTGATACACAAAGTGTAACTCACAAGATGTGAAGCAGAAGCAAAAATACATTATGTATATGATCTTATAATTATTATAGTAAAAGAAAATCTTAATTTTACTTATGAGTGATGCCAGCACTGTAAGTTTGTGGTAAAATGGAAAAAGTTGGTGCAAGAGTTTTAAGTTCCATAGGTGAGACATTCGTGATTCATTTCTAATTTCTAATTGCAGAATAGGATACCAGATCCCGATGTTTGCTGGTTTCTGCATCATGTTTGTGTCAACCATAAGTGAGTAAATAAAGAGTAATTTCTAACCCTTTTTTAACATTAATCCACTGTAATTACTAAGTGTCTTTATGGAAAGGGGTGGAGAGGATGCCATATATTTATACAATGTAAGATTTAGCTACAAGCTATCTGTTGTGTGTATCTCTATTATAAATATGTCTATTTTTTATTTTTCTCCTGTCTGTTTTTCTCTGTGTGAAGTGTTTGCATTTTCATCAAGCTATACGTTGCTGTTTTTGGCCAGATCTCTACAAGGTGTCGGCTCCTCCTGTTCTTCTGTGGCAGGTAACAGATCTTGTGCAATATTATGTTAGAATTCAAAAGTATGCTGTCAAAAGCTGCAATGTAATGCTTTATTATGCCTTAGTAAATCTTGAGTGTGCTAAACGCATTTGACTTTGATGTTCTCAGAACTCTGCATGCATAAAGCCTGATAAAGTTAATGGTGTTCGGGTGCTTGTGTAAAATGCACACTGTTCCCATTCAAAGATGTATACAGCCTTGGATCTAGATTACAAAACTGGCTCTTGAAACTCCTGATTAGTGATTTCATTATAAAATTAATATGTTATTGAGTTTATTTGTTGGTTTATTGCTAGAATTTAAAGGGCTTATATTGTGAGGAATCACATTTACCTCAGTCTTTTGAAAGAGCTTGAACACAGAGTTAAATGTACTCCCCAAAAAGAGCATAAAAGTCTTTTTTGTGATGTCACACTGATGGATGCTAAAAAAGCTTGAGAAATCTAAAATATTATATTGCACAACATTGCACAAAATACTAATATAAGCAGATATATTAATATAATATTAATATAACAGACAAGAAAAAACCTTTACCCTCTGTAACTAACTATTTCTGTGTGTTATTATGCAGGTATGGGGATGCTGGCAAGTGTTTACACAGATGATGAGGAAAGAGGAAATGCTATAGGAATTGCCCTGGGAGGACTAGCCATGGGAGTTTTGGGTGTGTACTGTATGTTTAGAATTTTGATCTGCAAAACAGGTACATTGGAGATCTTGAATCCTAACGCTAATCTTACTCCTTGAAACACAGACCGAGCAAAGAGAGAAACTTAATGTTGGGGGGTTATGCATTAAGTGCCTTGGAGTTTAAGGTTGGGGAGGTAACTTTAAGTGGCATGTTTAAAGCCCAAGAGCAGTGGTCAGAAGAAATGCCCTGAGTGGGGCCTGAACCTGGTGCTTCCTGTTAATGATGTCATGCTTTAACCACTGTTGCAGGATGTTTAATCCCTGATAGTCTATTATTTTATTCATAATGGCAAGTAAGGCATTAAAAAATGTTGATCCACTGGATAAGAGCTATTTTGTCCTAAGTGATTACATTTTGCTGTCATCATTAAAGTGCGCAAATACTGTACTTGTTAATCAAGTGGAGAACAGCAGAAAAATGGAGCACAATAATTTCAATTAAAACCTATAAAACTATATTCGTCTGGATAGTTTCAGATTTGAAATGGGTTTGTTGTTTGAGAACACTTTGTTGTTTTACTGTGGTTTGGTAACCTTGATAATGTAAACTGTTCTGCAGAGCAATTAGTATTGGATTTGTGGCCTGTGTTAATTCAAAAAATATTGGCATCGTCAAGAGTTTTCAAAGTAAAGATAGTTTGAGTAGTCTTTGAGTAGTATGCAGTATACTGTATGTGTGTGTGTGTGTGTGTGTGTGTGTGTGTGCGTGTGTGTTGTGCAGTTGGCCCTCCGTTTGGAAGTGTCATGTATGAGTTTGTTGGTAAGACGGCTCCTTTCCTTATCCTGGCAGTGCTGGCGGTGCTTGATGGAGGTGAGTTCATCCATCTCTGTTCTTTAAGCTTCCCAACATTTTTCCAATCAAAACAATGAGAATGATAGATTCAGTAGTAAAGCTTCATGTTATTGTGATAGAAATGTGGAATTGAATGCTGGTGACAGAAACTCATTATAACTGAATTCCTGATGCTGAACAATGTTGGCTTTATATCTGATGTTTTTTTTTCTTCTCAATTTTCATGAACAGCTCTGCAGCTATTTGTGCTTCAGCCTTCTAAGGTTGACCCAGAGGTGAGTACAGTACCTTCTTTCCTGATTTAATTTGATCTAACTTTCTGTTTTCCAATACTAGTTTTGGGGGGTTAGTATAGCATTAGGTAAACATTCACCTAAAGGTCAAGCTCTGCATTTGAAAGGCTTTGTGCAAGCATTTTGACAAAGAATGTGTGTTTAGGTGTGAATACTTGGGTTTTATAGCTACACTGTTATTTACAATGATATTCGGGATTTAAAATGTTAATTTTTTTGGGCTAAAATCCTGAGCAAGAAGCTTACTATGACCTCGCAATTGATTTGCACAGCCTATTAATCATGATTTGGGCTCATTTTTGTAATTGCTTTGCTCATTTTTGTAATTTTGTAATTGTACCTTAATGGGAAAATGTAGCTTCAGCAAGCTCCACATTATATTGAATGTTTGCTTATTATTCCTCTTGTGGGCAGAAACTGGGAGAAGAAGCTTTTGGGATGATCTGTATTTCGTACTATGATTGGTCTAGTCTTATCAGTAACAGGACTAGAATGATTTGCAAGAGGAGTTTGGATCTCTCACACTGGGTACTTTTAAACAAAATGTATTTGGGATTGAAAATACGTTATATGGATTACAGTGTATGTATGTGTAGATTGTAGTGAATGTTGATAGCAGTGTGTGTAGTTGGACAGTGTATTTGGAATAATGCTTTGGTTTGCATCACAGTAATAGGAAATGTACAGTGGAGTGGCTGATCCAATCAAAGCATGTCTGACTTTGATCAGTGGGGTTGATGGGTATCAGTTACTACGGAGACCCCAAGTGCCCCTACAGACAGTGTGTGTATTTATGTAGCTACTTGTGTTTGGGTGATCTGTGAGATTTTGTCATCTTTCATGTGGAATGAAGCACTAACAGTGGGTTATGTTTTCCAGCAATAAATAAGCTTAAAAATAAATCTAATGGGAAATGTTGCTACACTCTTAAAAATAAAAGTTGTATGGAAAAACCTTTAACATCCATGGAACCTTTTTATTGTACAAAATTACAAAAAAGGTTATTTTTAGATTTTAAAATGTTCTTCACACTAAGAAAAAAAATATATTTTAAGAACTGTTCACAAAAAGGTTCTTTGGGAAACCAAAAGTGGTTCTTCTGTGGCATAACTGCAAAAAACCTTTTTGGAACCTTTATTTTTATATATTGTCAGTCAAGTGAGCTTAACAATTTAAGACAGCAAAAAAAAATGTGAGTACAAATGTCCTTCTGCACTTTCTGCAGGCTGTTCAGCTAAGATTTAATATACACTGACTAAGAAAAGCTCTCACATGATCAAGTATGTGACATAAAGATTATATTTTCAACAGATCTGAGTGACATCGATTAAAAGGTCAGTTTCTTTTGTCATCATACCACAGTTAAGACCAGAAGGTGGTGGACCTGTCATCTCAAATCAGTAATCAATCAGATCAATAATGCTTGGACATCAGGTTGTAGTTATGCTCAGATACAGTAGATTTTTCATTTAGAAGCCCCCTTGAGTGTCAATATCCAACAGGATTATGTGAAAGAAGTGACAACTAATTGTTTGGGGGCTGTGATCATTCTCAGAATGAATTAACCGGGTTAGGGCAGTACAACTGAATGTGACAGGGTGTTTTGATTGGGATGACATGTCCACAGAGAAGTATGTGCAGTGAAGTGGAGTAAAGAAGTGCTGATTTAATGAGGGGGTAATTGTCAGTCTTTGCCTGGTGACTGCTCAAAAAAAAAAATCCACTGAAAGATAGCATCACTACAGGTATTTCTTCCAACACAAAAGAAATATCATAACTAGAATTTCACATTTTAAAGCTGTAGCGTGTCACTAACATCATAATGAAATGTCAAATGTTAAAGAATGATGTTCAGATAGGTTACCTAAACAGTCTCCCTGTCTACCATTGGTTAAAAAAAAAAAGCCCCAAATTCATGCCATTGGTTGAGCTAATGTCGCTGTTGCTTAAAAACAGAGCAATGTTTCCTATCAACCTTCAAATGGCTTGATCATTGTCTCTATGTGTTTCTATGTACACATAGATAGTACACATTATGCTGTGATAGAAGACACTTTTTTTAACATTGAAAAAAGTATACACATCATAATTTAATCACTTACTTGAATAATTTGTTAACTAATATGCTTTACCTTTCTTTTGGCAAAAGTCATACCTAAAGTAAAAAAAAAGAAATTCAAGAAATGTAGCCTAGACATTCGCACTAAAGATGCCACAATTCCCACATCAATATGGAGAGTTAAGACTGGTATATTTTGTCACTCACAAAGTTGTCTGTGATCTTCTTTTCACTGATCACTTAGAGGTGTCATAAAGGGAACAGACTGCGTACAGGGCATATTGATTTGTGTGACTCTCAAGGAGCCCATCTTCATGGGAACCGCTGTGGTGACTAGGGCCATTTTTTTCAAATAGGATTATGCGCCCTGATGTACATCCCTTTAGAAAAACTCGCCTGACTTGAGTGAGGCCAGGATTGTTAATGGAATGTGATAAAATCCCACATCAGATATGTAAATAAATAAATGTCTTATTATATCTCATATATGTAAAATTTTTGCTTTATATTTCTGGTATAGTAGGTGTATTTAGCAGTAGCATTCAAGAAATTGAATGAACAAATATAAAAATAAAACACTACATACACTTCACTGTATAAATTATACATTGATTCTTATTAAAGCAACTGTATTAAAGTTCTTCAGTTGAGAGCAGTGAGTGATTTTTCTCTGTTTTGTTATTTTAATAACATTAAATGGATAGTTCACCCAAAAATGAAAAATCTGTCATCATTTGTTCACTCTGAAGTTGTTTTAAACCTGAATGAGTTTCTTTCTTCTGTTGAACATAAAAGTTATTTTCAAGAACGTGGAAAACCAAACAGTTGCTGGTCCCCAGTGATCAATGGGGACCAGCAACTGTTTGGTTACCCACATTCTTCAGAATATCTTCGTTTGTGTTCTGCACAAGAAAGAGCTTAATACAGGTTTGGTACAATATGAGAGTCAGTAAATAATGACAGAATTGTAATTTTTGGGTGAACTATCCCTTTAATGACACATTATGTTTACATTACATTACATTATGTTTAGTACTTTTAGTCTGCTGTCACTTTAAGACCTGTACGCATCTAAAATACAGGCACACATCCGTTTTTCTCTCAACTGTTTTCCTTCACTTTAGACATAACCAACTGTTTATATGTAAACCTTGTGTGTTTTTGACAGTATTAGCGCAATCAGATGCGAAAGAGAACTTAGTCCAGTAATCAGGTGCTGTTTGACATGCTTTTTCGAGTGCGAGCACTTCAGGTGTACACGCTGAGAAAAAGCGCATGTCAGAACAGCACACGAATGAAATGTTTAACCGGCAAGGCTTTAAAGCACATGCAAATAATGTACTTTTGTGATTGCGAATAAGTGCAGTGCCCCGTGAGTGTAAAATTACCACTACATTATTTCTTCAAAAACTGATTGGGGAGACATTTTAATCATCCTCGTTCAAAAATCGTGATATCGCACACCCCTACTTCAAATATAGCAAAAATCTATTGAACATTTCATTTGATTTTCCCCATAGGAATAAATGGAGAACTATGGTATCCAGGATTTGTTTCTTGTGGCCCAAGACCATGTACCCAGTATATGACACGTTTTTGACGTTGATTGCAGTTGTTTTTCCACTGCAACATTGATGTTCAGGGTAAATTGTTTACTTTATTTTAATGAACTGATGTTTAAATTTTTTCCCAGAGCCAAAAAGGATCATCACTAATTACCCTCATGAAGGATCCATACATCCTCATCGCAGCAGGTCAGACCAGACAAATAAACTGTTCATTCCTACTGTTTTATCAAAAATAAAAGTGCAAACCTTATTATCATTTTAAAGGTGAATGTTTTTGATAAGAATGGATTCAGAGCTGTATGTCTTTGAATACATGTGAAAAAAGAAACCAATGGTTTAATCAAGTATGTATGACACTAGTTGTGCTTTAGGGGGTGTGACACATTTAAGTGGGTCATCTTTCTGTGACAGAGAAGGATAAGAAAGTGTCAAATGTGTGTATATGTGAGAAAGAGAGAGAGAGAGAGAGTGAAGTGGTCAAGAATCACATCTGTGTTTGTCTCTGCTTCCCCTCCTCTCCAATTACAGTGGCCTGAGTGCAGGGGCAAGATGATGCTGTTTATTATATCTGAGAAAGGAAAAGAATGGGCGCTGAGGGAGGGGGGAAAGATGGACAGAAAGAGAGAATTCTTCAGGGGATGAATCCACTTACCCTCCTCATTTTCTTTTTCAGGTTCCATTTGTTTTGCTAACATGGCCATTGCTATGCTGGAGCCAGCTCTGCCCATCTGGATGATGGAGACAATGTGTCCCAGGACATGGCAGCTAGGTTGGAAAATGTGCTTCTTGTTATTGTGCACACTTACACATTTCTTCAATTCCCATTGTTCCAGAGAAATTTTTACTGTGGGCAAAATGGAAAATAGGTCATAATTTACAATGAAATATGGACAAAGTGAAAGAAACAGCAAATAAAGCCTAAATTATGTTTTTTTTTTTAGTATATTACTGTTACATTAGGGACACAAGCTAAAGACAGCGAATATTAGTAAAAAGCTAAAAACAGTGACTATCAATAAAAATGATCAGATCGTATTTTACAGCAAAATTAAAAGAAAAAAAATATGTAGCATGAAGAAAAATGTATATTCCTGTATATTTTATTTATTTATTTATTTTTGTGAGGGAAGCAAATGACATTTCTGTCCACAGATTCACACAATTTGCTAACAATAATAATAATAGTTTTAGAATAGTTTAATAATTATTTTCACATACTTCCAGAGTTGTGTACAGAAAAAGCACTAAACGCACTAAACTCTTGTTCTCCATACAGTGCACTTCACCCTCCAGACTGTAAAATACAATTTAAACAGTTAGTGTCTTCTGGGTTTCTCCACAGTTTTCCTACTGTTTAGAAAGCTTTGACAGATAATAAAGAGAAAGAGAAAGAAAGGAAAGCAGAGAAACAGGGAGAGTGAGGATGGGAAAGGGAGTGTCTTTGGTCTGGCAGGATATTGAGGTGTCATTGGCAGGCAAAGGAAAGCAAGAGAGCTAATGAAAGAGAAGGAGCGGGAGAATGAGAGAAGCAGCTTCATAACCGCGTCAGTGAGACGAACAGCAGCTTTGAGATCAAACTGATATTGTGTCGTCTTATCTGAGCTCTCTCCTCTCTCTCCTTTCTCCTTTTAGGGGCTGCGTTCCTGCCAGCCAGCATCTCATATCTAATAGGGACCAACATCTTTGCCGTTTTGGCTCACAAAATGGGGAGGTAGGAGAGGGAAATTAATGTGTTTTTTCCCTACTTTTCTTGCCTTATCTTCCTCCGCGTTGCTATCAGTTTCCTCTGTTTTGAAAGAGCACTAAATGAGTTTCTGTCGCCAGGTTTTGTAATTGTGTTTTTAAAAATCATTCTCAGCATGCTGTTTATTTGTTTATTTATACTAGTATACAGAAATGTGTCCCAGGACATGGCAGCTAGGTTGGAAAATGTGCTTCTTGTTATTGTGCACACTTACACATTTCTTCAATTCCCATTGTTCCAGAGAAATTTTTACTGTGGGCAAAATGGAAAATAGGTCATAATTTACAATGAAATATGGACAAAGTGAAAGAAACAGCAAATAAAGCCTAAATTATGTTTTTTTTTTTAGTATATTACTGTTACATTAGGGACACAAGCTAAAGACAGCGAATATTAGTAAAAAGCTAAAAACAGTGACTATCAATAAAAATGATCAGATCGTATTTTACAGCAAAATTAAAAGAAAAAAAATTGAATGAAGAAAAAAATATTTGAAATCAAATATATTATTTATTTGAATAGTATTATTTATTTGTTTTAATTTGACCTTTTTTGTGATTTAATTCATTATTAGCTTTTCATCATCTCACTAATCCCTGAAGTTCCCTTGTGAAGCCCAGTTCTGAAACTGCTGTAATGTAAAAATATTATACTATGTAAATTGTCAAATAAGTAAACATCATATTAGTATTTGTTTTACTAAACTTAATTTATGCTGATTCTAATTACTATCAAATTATTGGGCCTGAACTGGATGATTTTAATTTTTTTGCATTATAGTAATGAGAATGAAATTCTTTTATTATAATGAGAATTACATTTTAAGACCATTTTAGGATGAAATGTCTTTTTTTGTCATAATTTTCTTAATTTTAGCTTCATAACCGCGTCAGTGAGACGAACAGCAGCTTTGAGATCAAACTGATATTGTGTCGTCTTATCTGAGCTCTCTCCTCTCTCTCCTTTCTCCTTTTAGGGGCTGCGTTCCTGCCAGCCAGCATCTCATATCTAATAGGGACCAACATCTTTGCCGTTTTGGCTCACAAAATGGGGAGGTAGGAGAGGGAAATTAATGTGTTTTTTCCCTACTTTTCTTGCCTTATCTTCCTCCGCGTTGCTATCAGTTTCCTCTGTTTTGAAAGAGCACTAAATGAGTTTCTGTCGCCAGGTTTTGTAATTGTGTTTTTAAAAATCATTCTCAGCATGCTGTTTATTTGTTTATTTATACTAGTATACAGACTACTTACAATGAGCTATAAGCACTTATAAGAGGCATAGACATGATTCCCATTATCAGAATATGTTATGTCTGCAGGGTCCGAAATTAAGTCTGTCACACCTGCCAATGGCGACTGGGAGAATATTATTGGCCATAAATACTTCTTAAAGAATTTTGTTTGTTTTCATTAAAATTAGCAAATGTAATTTATTAATAGATAGATAGATAGATAGATAGATTTTTTATTAAAAAACAGTACTTTAAAATATTTTAAAGAGTAATTTATTCCTGTGGTGGCAAAGTTTCAGTGCTGCCCTAGTTATTGTTTGTTACTGACTTTTTAATCAGGTTACTTGTCCGGTCGGGCAGGTAAAATTCTCTTTCAATTACCCCTTCACAAAATCCACTTGTCCCGGACAAGCCCTGGTTTCTAAGAAAAGACTGGCGTGTCTGGCAAACCGTTTGAATTGTCAGTGGAAAAACAGCAGGGCCTGTAGATTTGCACTGTGACATTGTATGAACGTTATTATTCATCTCTATTAGGACTGGTGCTGTTGTTGTGAGCTTTGTGACCTAAGGTTTGTTACTGAATGTCTTAGTCCCCAGTCAACCTCTGGTTCAGAACAGCAGACATTTGTAGGCTTCATCTTCAGTTCTCTCTCTATCTCTCTCTCTCTCTGTAGATGGCTGTGCTCTCTTATAGGGATGCTTCTGGTTGGAATCAGCATTCTTTGTGTAAGTTCTTTTAGACAAAATCCCTGTCAGGGATTAACTTCTCTCAGAGAACACACCACACCTGTGAATATTTCAACACCTTATCATCTGTCGTTTCAATACTGCAGAGGCCTAAGAAGTTTTATTGCCCACTACCGTGGTTGAGGGCTGGAAAGAAGGTTTATTTTGAAATTAGAGCTCTGACTCTGGACATATCCTGCTAAGCAGGAAGACAGTCTGTTCTCTTATAGATGCTTATCAGATTAGACTGGAAAACAAGTTCAGATGAGAGTCAAGTACACATTTGGAATTTTTCTTATGGAAAAAAACATCAGGGTTAAAAAGGTTATGAAAAGACAAAAAAAAAAAAACAGTCTTTGAGAAAGAATGTTTGACTATTTGATGTTTTCACGTAATCAATAATTTATAAAAAAAATATGCGGCAGCTTCCAGTATTGAGCTCTTCTAATTGATCTACAGGTGCCTCTTGCAAAAGACATATACGGACTCATTGTGCCAAACTTTGGAGTTGGATTTGCAATAGGTGAGCTTTGCTCCTTTACTATATCTATATCAGAATTTCTTAAAATACTATTGTACTATGTTAATGTCAAGTCAGATCACCTGTATTTATATTGCACTTTATACAAAAGAGATTGTAGTAGGGCTATAGCAGGGCTAAAATGACAACAGTGTCATTATTCAGCTCCGATCAGTTCAGTGTTGATTCGGTTCAGTTCAAAAACTGTGTAATGTTCAACAGACATAAAATAGGTTAAATTCAGTGTAACTTACTTACTGTAATGTAACTTACTTAATGCAACATACTCACTGTAGAGGTAGTTCTCCTATAAAATTTTTATAATTTAAAATGAAAAAAGTAAACAAACAAAATTGTTATGATTATAATACTGTAGAATTTGTAATGAACATTGTATTAGAAAATGCAAAATAGGAGCATTTCACTAATGGCATTAGACCCACTTTATGAAATAGTCCATATTTTGTGGTCTGCAGGTATGGTGGACTCCTCCATGATGCCTATCATGGGTTATCTAGTAGATCTGAGGCATGTATCTGTGTACGGTAGTGTGTATGCCATTGCTGATGTTGCCTTCTGCATGGGCTTTGCAATAGGTAATTTTTCCAATTCTGTTATTAATTCTCATTAATTCATTAGAATTTCTACTTGGAAGGTTTATAGAGGAATGTGTTAACAGCATTTAACACTCGTGTGTGTGTTGTGTAGGTCCATCAGCAGGCGGGGCGATTGCGCGGAGCATCGGCTTTCCCTGGCTCATGACCATCATTGGTGTAATAGACATCCTGTTTGCTCCTCTCTGTTTCTTCCTGCGAAATCCTCCCGCCAATGAGGAAAAGATGGTCAGACCCCACAATGTGTCATCCATCAATTCAACATACATTAAATTCATTCCAATCTACTCACGCTCTAACACAAATATTACAGCAGTGTTACAGCACATGTGCATATATTTACAATTCCAAGTAAATTTTCATTTGAAATCCGTTTTACTCCCAAAATGTGACAATTTCTACGTAAAACAGGATATTTAATGAGAAGAATTTTATACATTGGGAATGGATCAGATGATAGCTGTTACCAACCAGAATGGATCCAGGCCAAATGCATGTTTGATAAATGTGACCCTGGACCACAAAACCATTCATAAGGGTCAATTTTTCGAAATTGAGATTTATACATCATCTGAAAGCTGAATAAATTAGCTTTCCATTGATGTATGGTTTGTGGTATTTGGCCAAGATACAACTATTTGAAAATCTGGAATCTGAGGGTGCAAAAAAATCCAAAATATTGAGAAAATCACCTTTAAAGTTGTCCAAATTAAGTTCTTAGCAATGCATATTACAAATCAAAAATTAAGTTTTGATATATTTACAGTAGGAAATTTACAAAATATCTTCATGGAACATGATCTTTACGTAATATCCTAATGATTTTTGGCATAAAAGAAAAAAAAAATGTTGACCCATACAGTGTATTTTTGGCTATTGCTACAAATATACCCCAGCGACTTAAGACTGGTTTTGTGGTCCAGGGTCACAAATAGCTAATCCAACAGCAAATAATGCCTAAGTCATGTCAGAAATAACGGTACGTTATTTCAGTGGAATAACAAGTTTTTTTTGTTTTTTTTTAATATCCGAAAGACAAACATTAACATGCACAAAGCATTTACAAAAAGACCAGCACCATGTAAAGTAAACAAGGGTCCATTTTGATTTCATGTTGCCTTCAAAATGGACAGTTTTTATTTGTGATTTTTGCACTTTGATGCAAAAAAGATGGACGTATCTTGACTCATATCCGTATTCTCTTCATTATTACCATTGCTATTATTCCAGTAGTAACCATATGTTCACTCCCCAGCTGCCATTCACACACGCTTTCCTTTTGATTTCAGTGATTGAAGTCACTGACATGATAGAATATGACTGCAATAGAAAATTGTTACATAATAGATACAAATAAAAACTGCGCAGGATGCCCTTAAGCTAAGATGAAAGAGTGATGTTGATCTGAACAGACTCGTGCGTTTGCCCTCAAATGCTGTGTGATCAAAGCCAAGCATCATGGTCTTTCTTTCTCAAGAGGAGCACTACACTGTTCCTGAAGAGCACTAACGTGCACACGCACACAAGCCAGATCTATACGCTTCTGTGCTTACGCACTCTTTATCAAAGCCTCATTCAATCACAGTGCAATAAACCCACCATCTCTCACTATCAGTGGTGTACTGCCAATGAGATCAGCTCCACCTGCAGTTGATGACAATCACATATGGTCGTATCGGATGTGAATTCGTATTGCTGATGGAGACCGTGAGGTTACGCAAATGTATCCCTCTTGTTCAATACTTTACTCTTTATGTCCTTTTCTGAAATTAAAATTTCTGTCCACAGTAGTAGTCAATCAGATTTACACAGAGTATCACTTAAAAATAAAATAATCATTAAAGTATTCATTAAAATGTGTATAAACACTTTTCAAATTTACTAATAAATAGACTCCAAAATAGTTTACTACTTAGCTATCTTTTAAACATGTATTTAAATTATGTATCATTTATTTAAATATTTTAATTTGAAGTGCTCTGTTAAATTGTTTTTATTTATTTTATAAATATAGTAATTTATGATTTATTTAGTAAATAAGTTATATTTAAATTACTTGTTATTTATTATTGTATTTATTTATAAGTACATCTATTTGTCAATTTGACAAGTTAATTTGAACGTTATTCGTTGAAATTTGTATTTTGTTTAATTGAATAAGTTAGTGTTGTTTTTATTTGTCACTCCTGGTCCCTCATAACTGCAGGTCTACAGAGGTCTACATTGGAGCATGTGATACATTGTTTCCTGCCTACGTAATTCTTGTGTAAATACATATAGTCTAAGTCTATGTAAAGACACAGTATTTTTGCTTTGCTGTGGTTTGTATGTGATAGATAAATGTAACAGCATAAGCTGTGAGGTGTCCCGTACACCAATGATGGTTTCTTATCTCTGTTTCTTTCTCAGGCCATTTTGATGGACTCTAACTGTTCAATGAAGACCCGTTCCTACTCCACCCAGGGCTCCAGCTACCAAATGGGTGAGGATTTTGATCCCGAGAGCCCTGAATAGGCCTCATCAAAGCCCTCGGCCATGTATGTCACCCAGAGTATCTATTTTGTTGTATGAAAGAGAAAAACAACTTTAACTACTTTAAAGAAAACCACAATGCTAATTTGTGAGAATGTCCCATATTTGTCCCACACTGTCCTGTGGTCGTGATGGTCGTGTTCTTCTGAAGCAAACCAAAGTTGTTCTTGTTGCTGTTTGTTCTCAATGTGGGAGAGGTGAAATATCTAACCAACAGCCTTATCGATATGGATAACATTTGTGTGTGATTGAAAATGCAGGATTTGAGAGAGGATAAAAGGAAAACATTAAGTACAATTTTATTCAGCATAACAATGTTCATATTTTCTCATTCAAAAGTCAGACAGGGTAGTTGAAAAGATTCATTCAGTATGACCTAATGGACAGATATGTATTGGATATTTATTGTTTGTCTGTGGTGGTAGGAAAGTATGGTGATCATATATATATCTATCAGTCCTGTTGAAGTCTTTTCATAGGCGTAAACGTCAGTGAAGGTGCATTTGAGTCAGATAAATGGATTATATCTCACCTTGAAATGGGTCTTAAAATGTTGCTATTCGTATCATAATCAGTTCAAACTACATAATACATTATAGAGAACAGCTGAAGAACATTTTAGGCAAATTAAAACGTGAATTTTTTCTTCAAATCTGGTACATTATTTGATTCCATTGCTGTTGTTTTAATTTAGGCTTTTGAGAGGAGATTTTAATGTTAACTTGCATTGGAGTGTAGGTCCTAAGCTTAACACATTTCAAATGTCTTGTTTTTTTTTGTTTTTTGAAAAAGCAAAAGGTCTGACAGCATCAGATAATCAAGCAGAATGTCAACAAGTCCTCCTGTCACGTTCTGTTTGTGTGACTTGTTTGATGTCGCTAAAAATGATGTACTGTATTATCAAAGATGAGCCACAGCTAAATTTTGAATACACATGGTGACAAACTGTTTCAGTTTAGTTAAAGAAAAGTAAATTATTGCTGTAAAGCATCCAGATACTTTAGGTACTTTAGATTATATTTTGCTTTTAAAGTGTATATAGTATATATATATATTTTAGTAAGTCCTTTGAATGTGCTGGAATGCTAATCCGTTTATTTGTAAAGAATGCCTCAATACTTCTCTTTCCCATTTTTGACTTTTCATTTTCCTCTGTTTTCCTCTAATGTGTTATTAATCTTTTTTAAGAACTGAACTGGCTGTGAAATGAAACATGGCCTTAAATTGAAAGCCATATATAAAATTACTGGGGTTTTATCAAGAATACAAATATTTATTTAGTTTATTTATTTGTCTGAGGCAAGGAGCTTAAAGGAACACTCCACTATTTTTGAAAATAGGCTCATTTTCCAACTCCCCTAGAGTTAAACAGTTGAGTTTTACCGTTTTCGAATCCATTCAGCCGATCTCCGGGTCTGGCGGTAGCACTTTTAGCTGCAGCTTAGCATAGATCATTGAATCTGATTAGACCGTTAGCATCTCGCTCAAAAATGACCAAAGAGTTTCTATATTTTTCCTATTTAAAACTTGACTCTTCTGTAGTTACATCGTGTACTAAGACCGACGGAAAATGAAAAGTTGTGATTTTCTAGGCCAATATGGCTAGGAACTATACTCTCATTCCGGTGTAATAATCAAGGAACTTTGCTGCCGTACCATAGATGCAGCAGGCGCAATGATATTACGCAGCGCCTTAGTACACGATGTAACTACAGAAGAGTCAAGTTTTAAATAGGAAAAATATAGAAACTCTTTGGTCATTTTTGAGCGAGATGCTAACGGTCTAATTAGATTCAATGATCTATGCTAAGCTGCAGCTAAAAGTGCTACCGCCAGACCCAGATATCGGCTGAATGGATTCGAAAACGGTAAAACTCAACTGTTTAACTCTAGGGGAGTTGGAAAATGAGCCTATTTTCAAAAATAGTGGAGTGTTCCTTTAATTATCAAGTCAGGTGTCTGTGCAGGGTCAATGGTCTTTTTTATTTATTATTATTATTAAATAAATACACATTCTATGCCTTAAAATCAGACAACCTGCTGCAAACACTATTTAATGGCAAGTGTAGCTCAGCTGTAAATGTGTTTTTGAGAAACAGAATTCAGAAACAGTCTTATTGTTTCATAGACCCTATTCTTCATATGCTAAATGACAGCTTAATCTAATATTAAAAACATGTCTAATTCCCATCTTTTGTTTATCAAATATATTATATCGGGCTTTTTCATACTAGTTGGTTTTGGAGGTAAATTATCTGACTAGAACAAGTGAAATAGTTTAGAAATAAGTCTTCAATATAGCTTGATTCTCCTTTATTTTCTTGCCATTGATGTACTGAGGGAAACATTATTTTATTGCCCACAGGAAAATAAAATCATGGATTTGATACACAGCATGTTTTCCTCTGGAGCTACAATCAGTTTAACGCAACAGTTGCGACCAGAACTAGCCTTTGAGAAAAATCACGTTAGCTCAGCTTTAAGTATCTGCACAACTGGAGGATGTTTGTGTTAGATGTGAGGAACGGTGCACTGCTCCCAATCTGCCATCATTACACCTGCAGTTGTGGACAGAACAAATGCGCGCGAGTCAGCAGACAAAATTCGCCAGTGATGCTGCACAGGTCGATTCCACTATGATCTAAAACAAGCGCAGATTTTTAAATGCAAACACAACTATAAGGTGTCTACGCAGGTTTAATCAGATTGGTAAATGTGCTGCCAATGTTTTGAGTTACAGCAGTGTCCTTTAACCTTGATGTCGTTTTTAACCTGTTTACCCAGTAAGGGTTAAGAAGAGTATTATGTCATTTATTTTCTAATTGTTTTTATCAGAAATTAGTGTCTGTGCCAATGTCAGTGTGTGCCTTCAGACTGGTATGTCTTGTTTGTGTTTAAACTATATCAACTAGGAGGTTGAGCTGATGGTTATATCCAGTGTTTGGTCTGGTGGTTAGGTTTTACATCAGCTTTAGAGCTCTGAAGGCAATGTGTGTGTGACCGCAACAGAAAATAAATGTTTAAAAAGACACGATGCTTGTTTTCCCCCGATGATCTTAATCATTTTGCAAACAAAACAGACTTTACATGATTGACATCATTTTAGTTCATACAATACTGGAATGAAAAGAGAACCAGCTAGAATGACAATTCAAGACTGCATTATCCAATGAAAATCCAATCAAATCGAACTTTAATATGTTCTATTGATTTAAAAATGTTCTTTGCTTTACTCAATTGGACCAAGGTTTAAGAGTGTTATTTCCTGTTATTGATTCTGCAGTGTGGCAATCTTGTTAATGGGTTCACCACTAACCACTAAATGCCACCTGCTCCCAATGTCTTATTAATGGCTAATGTTATGAACGTTTATTTTATAATAATCCTGATATCAGCTCGCAGGGTTTTCAGAAGTGACTGGCCATACAGTTTTGCCCACTAAACGTAAGGAGTCATTCACACATTTAACACGTTTACCATTAAAGACAAGCTAGATGGACGTCTTTTGAAGTATCTTGTGCACAACACAGCATTCTCTTCTCACTGGTTTCATACCATCGCAACTGGCTTCTCGGTTATCAAGTGTAGCGAAAATAAACACAGATTACCTAAAAATGAATACTACTGCAGTATTAGTGTATGGGAAGAATGGGAAGGTGCAAAAATTACAGAGGAACTTTATTTATCTGAAGTGCATAAGCAAATATGATATGTCAGTGCGTAAAAGTCTTGCAGCAAGTTTAAAAGCTGTGCACTTTGTCGGAAGATGCCCTCCACCATAAATAAAACCCACAAAAGAACAAAATCATATTTACATTAAGCAAAAACAACAACAAAAAAGAAAGGATGGATGAACCCACATGTTGCACACTATATAAGTTCATGGAGAAAGAACAGGGTTTAGTCACCTACATTACTAGGCTATTTACAATAGCGCTTTAAAACATGACACAGCTACCAATAAGAACAAGAGCTTTCCCAGAAAAACTTAACCACAGTTTGCCAAAGAGGATGTGATGTTTCGTACTTGTTATTTTACTGGGGTTTTTTTTGTTTTCTTATTGTGATAAAGATAGCATATGACGGTGGTGTTGTATTGAGAAGCACAGGATTACAGCAGCAGCAACTAGACAAGGCGGCAAAAAAAAAATCTTTAGTCATTTTATGACTAATTTAGAAAGCTTACCATTTAATGTTATTCCTTCAAGTGAATCAAAAGGAAAAATTCCTTTATGGTTTGAGTGGTAATGAACTTATGCAAATATTGCACAAGCAAAAACAGACCAATTCTACACTAGCTGAATAGTGTTTGCTGTCCAAGGGCCTGTGACCAGAGGGGCCCACTAAGGTCCTCTATGGTGATACATACTCATTGGAGCCAGGGTGAGGGGGACCAAACCTTAAAAATGATGTCCCAGGCCCACTGAATAGATGATATAGCAGCAGAAACGTTAACAAGGACAGCACGACTGTTAACACAGATTGGTTGGACTAGGACAAGACTAGGACTTCTGTCCTGGAGAGCCACAGTCCTACAGAGTTTTGCTCCAACTCTAATCAAACACACCTGATCAAGCTAATCAAGGTCTAAGGGTTACTAGAAAGCTACAGGCAGGTCAGTTTTTAATCAGAGTTGGAGCAAAACTCTGCAGGACTGTGGGTCTCCAGGACCGAAGTTGGCCACGCCTGGGTTAGGAGTTTTGTCCTCGCCACCTAAAGGCCTAGTAATTTGTTTTTACTAAAAAGCTTTAAATCATGAAAGCAGATCCAGTAATGCATGTAGCCAATTACAGTTGTTCATGTGTAAACCGCATGTAGTAACAGCAATAAAGACTTTCTTTGATCAAATCCAAGTCCATTTAAAGTAAACGAAGTAAATGAAATCTAACCAGCAATACACAGACAGAAGCTACAATTGACTCAGCTTTTGAGCCCAGCAGACAGGTTACAGACTGTTCATGAATTTACACATTAGCTTTGGGAATTAAGGAATACTGTATGCATTGACAAAAGAGAGTTTTTAATTATGTAGTTTTACACTTTGAGAGATGTGCTGAGAGGCGAACGGAATAATGAATGTAAAGTGAGTCATTTGGGAGATAAATTCATTAGTACACGTAAAATCAACTTTCAATGACAACAATGCATGCCAAAGCACACAGATGTGAGACATACTGAAAGTTTGCTTGCATGATAATAAAATTACACATTCCAATACTTAAATCAAACCAAAAACGAACAGGCTGACACATTCACACATACATAACCAATAACCATTCACCCTGGACCAACTGATGGTGGATAAAAAAGTATCCAAATTGGTTTGAGAAAAATCGCCACCGTTTTAGAACTCATAAAGGATCAAAACAAATGATTTGTGAGATTATATAATGACAATTATTGGAAACATATATTATGAAACATACATATGCAATATAAATATACTTCCCTCAAAAAAAGAAAAAAGTCACATTGGCTTTGTGACAAATTTAAATTAGACAAAGAATGGTCCCCAGTAGAATAATAACTTCAAGATTATCTGTCCTATGAGGGTTCCCTCTCTCAATTCAACATTAAACATTCTAAAAATAACAAAACATGAACATTAAAGAAATTATGCTTTAAAATGAACAACAATTAGCAACAAAAGGTGCTTATCAGAGAGAAAAATGTTGGTTAGGAATGGCATCATGTTCTATGGACTGTTGTTCAGGATATAATCCTACATTTTGAAGTGGATATAGTGTAAGGCAGAGGGGCTTGAAGCTTAAAACACAATGGACAGGGTATATTTCCAACCATGGATGTAACTAAGAGCATACATGTATATAATTCAGTCTCTACCAATACACAAAGTTAAAATAAAAATATGTATTCAAGCTCATCTTGCTTCAAGCTCACACCTCTCCCTATTGAAGCTTGTTATGTAAAAAAACT